TACCACTGTCCACTGTGTGCCAGGCCCTATGCTGGGGCTCCATATCCAGAATCTCACTTAATCTTCACAACAATCTGAAGAGAAGAGCCTTAGTACCCATTTAACAGATAAGGAAACTGAGGTTCAGATGGATTAAGAAAGGTTCTCAAGCAAAAGAGAAGAGCAATTCTAATTAATGCCTGCCATTCTCAAGCCTATGCTCTCACCTCCACCCTGCACTATGTCAGCAACCATATTAAATGGTTAGTTTGGAGGGGTATGTGGGCCTTGCTCCAATTAGTATGTGTATATTAATGCTAAGTTTGTATTTATTTATACTTAGCTTAAGGGCTCAAAGTGGTTTCTAGAGGATGCTGAAGAGCAGCTATCTCTCCTTTGGTCTAATGCCTGAGAAAGAGCAGCGGTCAGGAATGGGGGGCTGCCCCTGCCACACTCTGGGGAACAGGGGCCTCAGCTTGCAGCCTCTGAGTGGTCCCAGGGACCCCCAAGTGATCAAAGTCACAGACAAATATGCCAGGGGTTTCAAGGCAGCTTCTCCTCAAAATAATAACACATTTGCATTTTTCTGCTGCAGCCAGAATGCAAATTTCATGTTTTTGTAGTTAAATTTACTGGGTCCACGTTTATTCAGACCTGGCACATGGCTAGGGCCCTATATTGAAAAGCCTGGAATTCCTATGTTCTTTCCTACTCCTGTTGCTACTGGGGGTCTTTCATCCCAGTCCCATTTGATCCAGTAACATGTGCGGGGGGTAGGGAGGAGGCAGGCAACCTTGTCTAACAGGGCCAGGGAGACGGCACACCTGCCTTCCAGATGCAAAGAGCTTATATAAAAGGGAACAACGTATGTAACAAATTTCCCCCCAAATTACAATGCTCAGAGAGAGTGGGTTAGAGAAATAAATTTAAGAGAAAAGAGTGGCAGATGGGATAGATGGATTCAATTAAGGCAAAGAACATCAAACAATTCCAAGGATGCCTTGTTTTAACGGAACATGTCATTTTGTCCTCATGGCCTCCAGATAACTCCCAACAACAGTCTAGTGGGAAGCAGGGTGTGCACACAGTGCCCTGACCCCAGCGGGAGTTTAATATCCTAAAATGAGAGAATGAATATTCCCTCTTCTCTTCTTTTCAATAATGTGGTGAAACAGCACATGAATCAGACTAAGCAGGCTACATATTTGATTTCCACAGAACCAGGTGTTATTCAAATTAAATAGATATTTCCCACTGTCATATTCACTGAACTGATTTCTTTATTTGGTCTATGGGAGAGTCTACTTTTTAATTAAACCAACCACTGTCATTTTTCTAAGAAAGACAATAAAATAATAAAAATACTTATATACCTTTTATCCTCCTAAACATAAATCATGAGGGATAGGAGGTGTTATGCCTTTGCTAGATAGTTTTATCACATAGACATTATGCTAACATGCTTTAAATTGTTGCTTTGCAGGTCAGTTTATTCCTATTAAGAATGTATAAAATACCTGTTGTCAGTAACAGTATTTGTAACTACTTACTATCAAAAGGAATTCATGTCTGCAATAATTTTGCAATACACAGTTAACAAAGCATAGATGTGCATATAATAATATATATGCACCATGTTGACCTAAATACTACACTTAACTGACCTCAATTTTCATCTAAAGTCAAGTGTGAAAGTCTAGTAGTTTGATGAGCAATGCTATCTTCATTCCCTGGCTCCGAGCAGTGTCATTTAATTGACAGCCACATTATCATATTTACAAAGTGATAGGTGGGTTGTAGTTTCACAAAGATGGTATTATTATCTCTGTAGTCAGTGGAGAACCTGTGGAAGACTTAGAATAGAAACTCTACAATTACACTCCATAACTCTAACTGCAATAATATATAGTTGTTCTGATTATCAGTTAAAATGGCAATGTAGCTGGTCTTTTTTTGCAGAGATGCTAAATCATGTTTAGATTCCAGCCCATTCTTTACTATGTTGCAGAGGAAAATCCTCTCAGCTACAAGAGAATAATATTTAGGCTGTCATACCATCTTCAGGGTATTGTGCAGAAATAACCTCTACTTGACTCAGCTGAGAGAGTAAACTAATGTTAAAATATCGAACCATTGCCTTGTTTCTCTGCAACTGAGGTGCCCTTCACTAAGAAAAAGTCACCTTTGATTTTTTGAGTGGTTTAAAGTGGCTCTAGGAGAGGAGGCAGAATTTTCTGGAAGATCAAGTCACTGGCTCCAAGTCACTGCATCATTGTGCACACAGCTCGAGGTGGGCAGGGTGTGCCAACCACCAGTGTGATGGCCTCGATATCATAGCCTTGTTTCCAAAGTTAGTTATGACCCTATCACTGGAGAATTCTTTCAACAAAGTAGTAATTAAGTTTAAATAGCAAAAACTTGAGTTTCCAAAGGATAAAGATAAATGATGAAACTCAGAGTATAGGAAATACTAGTATAAACCAGTTCCACAAAGCTGGCAAGAAAATTTTCGGGAAAGATGATACACAATTCACAAGAGGCTCAAAAGAGGAACAAGAGAACTCTGCTCTGACATTTCCTTTATTAAACTTATTTTTCTGGGAAGTTTTTTGTTATCCAATCACTTTATACTCAAGTCATTCTCTTGTAGTTGTGTATTGCTATGTAACAAGTTACTCTAACACTTAATAACTTAAAATGACAAATATGAGTCATCTCACAGTTTTTGTGGGTCAGGAGTATAGGAATGACTTAGCTGGGTGCCTGCACCTCAAGGTCTCTCACAGGTGTGGGCCAGCACTACAGTCTAATCTCACGGCTCAACTGGAGGAGGATAAGCTTCCACACTCACGTGGCTGGTGACAGGATTCAGCACCTCACAGGCTATTGGACTAAGGGCCTCAGCTCCTCTCTGAGGGTTAACCAGAGGCCTTCCTCAGTTTCTTGCCACCTGTGCCTCTCCCTAGGGCAACTCACAACACAGCAGTGTTAGAGCAAGCCAATGAGAGCAAGACAGAAGCCAATGTGTTTTTGTAACCTAACCTCAGAAGTGACATCCCACCAGTTTTGCCAAATTCTGTTTGTTAGAAGCAAGTTATTAGGTGCAGCCACACTGAAGGTAAGGGGATCACACAAGGGTATGAATACCAGGACATGGGGACCACTGGGGTCATCTCAGGAGCTGCCAATCACATCTTTCCTTGCACGTGCAAGAATAGAAAAATATTCACCCCAACAACAGAAGAATAAACACCAAATGGAAGGAAAATCTGAAAGAAGTAGGAAAAGAGGAAAATGTTCCAGGATCTCATTACTTATGCCTTGCAGCTCTCATTCTCTTAAAATCCAAGCATACAACATAGCATGGAGTCTCTTACCCCTGTCCCTTCTTTCCATGGGAGCATAAGAGTTCAGGCCTTCATTTCTCCATATTATCAGTAGTATAGCACTACTTTCCTTAACCAGCTTCCACAGCACAACACATCCTGGATATCAAGGCCAGAGTAATTTTCCTAAATCATGCTTTCTACTTATCCATAAGCTGCAGAAAGCCCCTGTAGTGACTCCCCATTGTCAAACAAAACCCAGACTCTTTAGGCTACCATTCAGTGTCTTCCATAGTTGGACCCAGGCCTGACTATACAAACTCATCACCCCCAATCCCCAACAGTAATCTACCAATCCAGGTAAACCACACTCAACACCTAAATACACCACACTTACTCACAGCTTGAAGCCTCTGCTAACACTATCACTACCCCTCCCTTGGCAAGACCCGTCTTTACCTAACCATTATAAGTCCTTCCCAATTTCCAAGATGCAAAACAGATCCCACCTTCTCAGTGACATTTTCTGATCACCCAACTAGATTTCAAATCCTCCTACGAACAGGCACAGCTCTGCGAGACACACCATTTACTGACCTGGCCAGTCACCTGTCTCGTTTTCCCAAGGAGCTGATATGTTTCACACCTTCCTTCTTCCACAGAGACCACCAGACTACATCTCCCCAAGAGTTGGGCTGGATCTCACTTATTTTCCTCTGCAGAGGGTGGCTGGTACATGACAGGGAATATTTGTTGAAAAGATGGATGGATAGATGGATGGATGGATATAGATGGATGGGAGGGAGAGGGGAAGGAAGGAAGGGTTAAGCACAAGGTCTAGTATCATAAGAGGTCAATACCAATAAATATTTGTTAGCACCACCAATCCTTAAAATTCTCCACCAGTGGCACCTTGGCCACTTAATGGTCCCTATGTAGGAGCTCTTCCAAACAGAACAAAGGCAAATGATATTTATCTGACTCTGACAAAATAAACAAGCCCATTCACACAAACATCACAAGGTAAGACCACCGCCCACCCTAACGCTGGCTCTGAGATACAGGATGCCAAGTGGAGGGAAATTACATGGCACAGTCAGGGCAGAACTGAAGAATAGAGCTACCTCAAGTCAGTGCACTTCAACTATGGGAAAACAAAAGTGGTAATTAAAGGGTGCTGGGGAAATAGAGGAAAAATATATCTATTGTGGGGGAATGTCCATGTTTTAGGTAAGTCTGAGTAAACAAAAGGATTTTTAAAAAGAGTGAGAGATACCAGGAGACCTTTTAAGGCCTTTATTGCCTACCTCTAAGAAGAGGGAGGAAATCTCAATCAAAGCATCAAACGTCCAAAATCCAGAGGAAGCCTAATGCTTCCTATCCAGCTGGTTGGAAAATTTAAACCTAAAATGAATTCTCCCGGGAACCAGATTCCTGGTCGTAGGTTTCTTGGACTAGATGGGCCACGCTCCTCTCAGCGTAGGGAGCGCTGAAAACTCCAGGGGCTCGGCGGACGGGAGCCGGTGAATTCTCTCTCCCGCCATCCTGATCCCGGAGCACAGCCTACGCAGTGGGTTTCTAGGAGCCGGAGGTGCGCACGGCGCAGAGTATCTGGGGACGGTGGGCGCTGAGTTTGGAGCTTTACAAGTCCCCCAGCCTGAAATGGGAAGGCAACTCCTCTCGCCCCAAACTCACTTGCTTTTTAGAACCACTTCCATCTACTTTCCGATTTCAGCTCCCAAAGGCATCCGGAGAATCCTCCACGGTCCAAGGTCCACCGTGAAAGAGAAGGGTAAGGGGAGTGGTGACTGGGAGGCGAGGTCACCAGGCTTGGTGTGGTCGTTGGTTTGGCTTGGTGTGGCTTGGTGAAGTCGTTGGCGGGGAGTAGGAGGGAGGTTGCAAACCTGCTTGTCTCCGCCCCACTAAGCCTCGGAAATCCGTGGAGGCGCCTCGCCTCGCCGTGGGCGTCAGGGACCCGACGAGGGAAGGACACCCTGGAAGGGCTGCAGGCAAAAACTTTCCGTTTTCTAGCGGCAACTGTGCGGCAACGACCACCCCTCCTATGGCTGCAAGTCGCGTATCTCCGGGGTTGGCCCCCAGCACCCCGTCCCAGCCCGTCGGGGCTGCCGGGTGCACCGGCAGCACAGCACCTCCGCACCCCAGCGCACGGCAGCCTCTGGTCGCCAGCGCACTGGGCTGGCCCGCCGCGCGGCCCCTCCCCGGCAGGCACCCAGCCGCAGGAGCCTCTCTGCTGCCTCTGGCGGCCGTGCAGGCCTCGAGTGGGGCCGATCCGGCTGCGGGAGCTAGGGCGCCGGCTCCTCCTCCTCCTCTCTCTCTCCTCCTCCCCGCCTCCCTCCTCCCATCCCTCCCTCCCTCCCCCTTTCAGAGCACTCAATGTCGGAACGTTCCGAAGATGACGTCGGAGCGTTCTCGAATCCCGTGTCTCTCGGCTGCTGCTGCCGAAGGAACAGGGAAAAAGCAACAAGAAGGAAGAGCAATGGCGACACTGGATCGCAAAGTGCCCAGTCCGGAGGCGTTTCTGGGCAAACCCTGGTCCTCCTGGATCGACGCCGCCAAATTACACTGCTCCGACAGTAAGAACCCCACCGCCTCCTCCTCCTTTTATTATCCTGTAACCTTTCCATTCACCTAGAGCCACTGGGAAAAAGTGTGTGTGTGAGAGAGAGAGTGGCCCCCGGTGTCCTCCATGCTTCTCTCTCTCTAAATAAATACACACAGAGACAGAGCATCAATGCACAGAGAGAGGCCTTGCTGCCAGGGCTGTCTGTCTGTCTGTCTGTGCCGGGCTCCCCGTGGCAGTCCGCGGGGTGGGCTTTCACAGCCCCATGGTGTATCTGTTTAAAAGGCTACTCTGTTGCTGCTTGCATAGTTTTTTTGGTACCTATCTGGGCCAGGTAGATGGAAATCCAGACTTGGGAGAAAACGTCGCATTGTCAATTTTGGAAAGATTTTCATATACAGTATTTATATCAATCTCCTGGCAAATAAACACTCTCCCTCCCCCCCCTTGACTTTGGCTTTGCCCCCCTTTTTTCGCTTTTTTCTCTTATTTTCTTTTTTCCTTTTCTTTTTCATCTGCAGATGTAGATTTAGAAGAGGCTGGAAAAGAGGGTGGAAAAAGCAGGGAGGTTATGAGGCTTAATAAAGAAGGTAAGTGGAGCTACTGGCATATTAGTGTTAGCATGTGTGGCAGAAATCTTCACAGGATTTCGACTATAATGTGAATTGTTCTGCTGGGTACAGAGTGACTAAGGTTTGTCAAAAATTGAGCACGCCCAGGTGTCGACTGCTTGGTGTTAACTTCTTTCAAAGTATAAATACAACAGGGGGGTGATGGTAAAGAGGGGGAGACTGTTGGAAGCAGAAGTTTACTGCACTTCAGTTGGAGTCCACGTTTGAACCTTCTGATGCCTATCTGCCATTCGCATTTGCAGCATCATTGCCAGAGGTGGGAGGTTGGAATCTGTGAAATGAGTGGGGGTTCCCTCAAAAGCACCCCAGCCTATCTTATGGGTAAATACACAACAGTTTAATGAACCCCACATGGTCAATCATTCCAGCAGCTACTTCTCCACTTTTCCTGAAAACCATTGTGCATGGCAAACCTTTGCAGCAAGTTACATTTGCCCACTTTGTGCTTGGTCACAGAGTGATATGTGGCCAGCACAGTTAGGGGTATCTGTATGTGCAGACCCCCAGCCAGTTGCCTGTCTCTGTATCCCCATCATGGAAATACAGTACCTAAAATGGGATACAGTGAGTAGACAGGTCATCCCTGAGTGATGCAGGCAAGTGAAGCCACAGCCTCCTGGAACTGGGCATCAAACCACACATGGTTGTCATAAATAAATCATATCCTGTTCATGTTTGCAAGCCTGCCATATGTAACTCTGGCCTATGGGCTCCACATGGAGCAACTCCAGAGACTACTTTCTGCTGAACAAATGGATGAGTTCATTTGAATTGTGATTTACTAACTGATGTCTTGTAAACATGGCTGGCTGAAACTGGGTGTGGGAGGGTGGCGTGAGGGGCCAGAAGAGGTTGGGAAGTGTTGAAAGAGTTTAGCCGTAACTAGGCCATAGGAGCATTGTTGGTCCCAAATGAATGGAGAAAAGGCCATTAGATTCCAAAGAATGGTCTCCCTTATAAATTGGGATATCATCCTCCAAGGCAGCCAAAACCTGCTTGGAAAGATGGAACTTATTTTGTGGATCGATACCTATGATAGTTGGTTTTCTGTATCTAATCATTTCCTGACCATCCAGTGAAAAGAAAATTTGTACTTCAGAAAAAATAACATGGAGGTTCAAATATTCAAGGACAGTTCTCTAGCATAGTGGTTCTGCTAATTAAGCACTTTGATTGGAAATGAAACCTCATTCTAAACATGTTTGCCTCTAGGTATTTTAGTGTAATCTTGACATATCTTTAGGATGCACAAGGGAATGAAGTCAAGTAAACTTCTTACAAGTTTATTGCAGGTTATTTGTGCTAAATGTCCATGAGTGTAGGCAATGGGAAGGATCACTAGAGATTGTTTTTCTTCACAAACTTTTGAGATCTTTAAAAGCTTATGGGACTCAGTTATCAAACCACTGGCAGTGGAAAGTTTCCATGAAAGGAGATGAGATTATGAAAACCTTTAAAGTTGAGTAAAGGTCATGGTATGGTACAGAATTGTCATGTCTGGGGCCTGGTGATCAATTATGTCTACAACATAAAATTCATATTCTGCACCCTCCTCCCTACTTCTCCTTTAAGAGACTCTTGTTCTCAGATTCTCTTTGCCTCATAAGAACTAGGTTCCTTTAAGGAAAAATGAGAAACTTTCCTTTCCTCGGAAGTCACAAGTGGTACAACCTGCTTATTATATCCTTTATCCTGTAAAGGTACAAAGATTTAGCTCCCAATTGTATGTGTTTGCATTAAGGACACGCTGTGCAGTGTAACCTGCAATTGCCGAATTCACCAAATAGCCATGTATGGGTGGAAATCTCTGTTCATCGGCCTGGTAGAGAACACTTGGCTTAGCAATTCCTGAAGGTCTTCTTGGTATATATGCACACAGTTTTCTTCATGGATAGAGTACACATTAACTAAATATATATCCATGCCCCCTGCCACAATGGGGAATTTAAGAGTTGAGTTGGGACTCTCTCAGGGTGTTTGGTTGCCAGGATCTCCAGAAACACTGGTTGCATTAGTCTTGGCGTGAGCTTTCTTCTTGGAGTCATCATGTAGGTGGCCTCAGGATGCATATGTGTTTGTGGATGGGTCACTACACAGCACATCTGTTTTTCTATGTATGTGAACATACGTAGATTGACCATGATGTTATTGGTAGTATGCTGGTCTTGAGAAGAAATGTGGGCATTAATAGCAATGAATGTATAGCAATTGAGAAATGAGGGATATGATCCAGATTTTTATATGATTTTTTATTGTGACAAACATAATATAAAATTTACCATTTTAACCATTTTAAAGTGTACAGTTCAGTGATACTGAGCACATTCACAATGTTGTACAACCATCACCACTGTTCATTTCCTGACTTTTTAATCACGCCGCCCAGAAATCCTGTACCCATTATACAGTAACTACCCCTTTCCATCTCGCCCTTAGCCCTGGTAATCTCTATTTTCTGTCTCTGTGAAGTTGCCTATTCTAGATACCATGTATAATTATATATATGAGATATATCCTGCAATATTTGTCCCTTCATGACAGGCTTATTTCACTTAGCATAACGTTTTTGTGTTTCATCCATGTTACAGCGTGTGTCAGAATTTCACTCCTCTATATGGCTGAATAATATTCTGCTGTGTGTATATACCATATTTTTTTATCCATCTATCTGTTGATGGATATTTGGCTTGTTTCCATCTTTTAACTATAGTGAATAATGCTACTATGAACATTGTTGTAATATGATTTTTTTATAGAGTAAGCTCATGGAGGGAATTTAGGCTGGAAATGTGAAAAAAATAGTCATTTTGCCTCCTGTGTCTGTCTGGCCACAGCTTCAAAAGACACAAGAAGGACTTGCAGACTTCTAAAATAACCTGATTATTGTGATACAATTCCTTCTTCATTCCTCATTCCTTTCACTTTTGTGTGCTTCAGTTCTCCACCTATATCAGTAGGAAGTATTAACTGAATGCTTTGAAATCTCTGTAATAAAGTCTTCACATCAATATTATTATTTCATCTGGAGTTAGCTAAAATTACACTCAGGAGGAATTTGGCAGATAGTTTTGAACCTTGCCAAATCATCACCTGGGTTCAGAAGGAGTTGCTAATTCCGTGCTTCGATGTGGTCTTTGGGGTTGTATCGAGGGCAGCCTGGCGTGGTGAAAGGATTGAGAGAGGGGTTTGAGTCAGCTTCCTAGGTTCTCACATATGACCTTGGGAACATCACTTCCCTTCTCTGGGCAAATTCTCTCACATGTAAAGACAGGAAGTAAAGTTAAACATCCTCTAAGGTCTCTTTGAGATCTCTGAACCTACGTTTCTCTATTGAATGTACCTACACTTGGGATATAGTCAGGCTGTTTTTGAAAAAAATTTTAAAAATTAAAGCCTCATGTTAAATACATCTTAAACTACTACATACTGGGTTTCTTTTCTCATTTCGCAGTCTCTTGGTGGCAGAAATCACTGCATCTCATACACAAGCCTATTTTGCTACAAATAGTTTGCGAATGATATGCGACCTTTAGGACTTTGGAATGA